TTTTTTTTTTTTTTTTTATATCTATCAGCTGTACTTTTGTAGTGGCGTTGTTTGTTTTTATCGTACGTTGCGTTGCAATGAATATTTTTTTCATTTGTTTCACATTTTGTCTATGATTGATACTACCCATCAACCCCAAAATATCAAAAGTTTGAATTAAATCATGACGCACAAAAAAAATATACAAAAGTATATATATATATATATTATAATAAGTATATATACATACCCTACGGACTTTTCGGAAATAACCTACGAACTTTTCGGAAATACCTTACGAACTTTTCGAAAATACCCTACGAACTTTTCGAAAATACCCTACGAACTTATCGGAAATACCCTACAAACTTATCAGATCAATTAGACGCGTACTGTGCGAAAATTCAAAGTCACATTTTCTCGAAAACAAAGCCTCAAACGAAAAATTTTGAATCTATATTTTTGATTTATTTTTTCATGTAGAATCACTTCCCTTTCGCTTGTACTATCAGTTACCGATCACCCTGTATAATAACACTTAATACAATAATTGCATTAAAATTCCTATTGAAATAGAAATAAATTTGTATATTTGATTTTGATCGATAAATCGATTGATTTATTTCAAATTTTTGATCATTGTATAGTAGTATTCTATTTTATCTATCTATCTATCTATCAATCTATTTTTTTGGTTCAATCTATTTATCTATCTTAAAAATCGTGTTCTTAATACGTGTCGTGTTATATGCGCCAAATTCGATAACGTGCCAGAACAGTTCTGTTTGTTTCCCTGTTTTTTTTTTTTTTTTGTTGGGTTTTAAAACAATGACCAATCTTTCGTTTTCAGCGGCAATTGTACTCGCGGTTGCCAACGTCTCTCATGCGGAGTGCCAGAGTGAGTGATTATGCCACTTTAAATGCCAGCTACTACTTCTCTTCAGTGTGTTACATGACCACAGTTCGTCTTCTACAACGTTCTTCGTCCAACGTGGAACGTTTTTCTATTCAACTCGATACGTTCGGTTTTTTTTTTCTTTTTTAACTGTGTCAAAACCTTTTTTTATTATCATAAGTCGGTGGTATTTAATGAAACAAAAAGATAATAATAATAATAACAAATTAAAAAGTTAAATTAATTATAAAAAATAGATATTTTCGATACATGTGTGCAAAGTGAGGCATTCAAGGGCTTAAAAATTGAAACATGAGCCAAAGAAACGACGTGTTTACAACAGGGCCGAGTACGCAGATTAGGCCCCCACGAGCCGTTAGGCGAATGGTGGTAAGCGTACTCGGTTTTGTCATAAACGCCTTGTTTCTTCTGGCGAGTGTCTTAATTAAGCCCAGTGAATGCCTCAGCTAGGACATATTTATCGAACAATATTTTTTGTAACGAGTGCTTTCAAAGTTCAATAGAGAGAAATTATTCATTTACAAAGAAATGTTGT